ACGTACGTGAAAAATCTGCTGACAAGGGCCTCCTCTTTAAAGTACTAAAGAGCAAGGATGTCAGTTTAAAGATTAAGGTACACCTGATCCAAGCCATGTTATCCAAGCCAGTTGTTTCCTATGCTGAAAGTTAAACAAGAATAAGGAAGAAGAAGGGGGGGGGGAAAGACTACTTTTTAGATTGTGTTGTTGGAAATGCCCTTGAACTCTGATGCTGGAGAAAAATACTGAATATATGACTCGACGGCATATAACAGCACCACCACCACCAAAAGAACAAACAATTCTGTCTTGGAGGAAGTGTAGCCAGAGGGCTCCTTAGAGGCAAGGATTGTGAAATTTGTCTCACATACTTTGGACATGTTGTCAGGAGGGACCAGACTTTGAAAAAAGACATCAATGTTAGGGAAAGTGAAAGGTCAGAGAAAGATGGAAACCCTCAAAAAATGTCTTGAGAAACATTGATAGAATGACTAACGGTGGGCTTGAGCATGATGGCGTTTGTAAAAATGGCACAGAGTAAGGCAACATAGTTTTATTTGTTCTAAGCCTATATATAATGGAACTGTTCCAACCAAAGAAACCGTTTCATTGCAGGAATGCCAGTAATTTCAAGCAGGGAAAGGGAACGTGCTTTGAGCCATTAAAGTAAATTTAAAAGTCCCAGAGTGGATCCAGGCAAGCAAGTAGCAGAATGCTCTGAGGACTTTTGGGCCACAGTGATTCTAGGTATCAGGGGAGGTGTCAGATTTAGGGATGCCCTTCTGTGACCCTTTGATTCCTTCCCCAAGAACAGAACCTGCCTCTTGAATACTAGCCTGACTGGCTGGCATCCTGAACCCTTGCCTCTGTTTGCCCTTCTCTTTCCCCTGAGGCTGGACTCTTCTTTCGCATCCCCTTGTATCTTTTCAGAACAACTTTTCTGAATCTGCCTGCACACAGCTAGAAAGGAGATACCTAATCTTTTGCAAACCTCTCACAAGTGGGCAGAGAGATTGCTCTATTCTGACAGGCAAGTTTTTCTTTGAGGAGTTAGAATGGGCTACACACAACTAAGTCACACAACTGTGGTATTTTACAAATAAGGAAATGGTTTCAGAGAAATTATTGGTGGTGGCTGGGTGAGGTAGAGTAGGGAGGAACTTATCATAAATACCTTTAAAGTAACATTACTAAAGTTAACTATAGTTTTATCTAAAGAAATTTCCAAAGCAGAAATTATATCATTTTCATATCTGTTTAGCATACAGTTACTTGTTTTTATTTTTTATGTCACCATGGGAATAGTTTAATCAAGCCTACAGGAAATTAATTGCAAGAAAGCATAATGGAGATACATGCCATACTGCCTCTTATTTGAATCAAAAGGCAAAAATTATCTGCCTAAGGAGGATCCCATACCACATTTTCAGCAAATTTTTTCTGTCCCTTCAGGTTAGTGTATCAGAAATAAAACTACAACCATTTGAATATTTTCTTCCTTTCTTTAGTCCCCACATATATATTTGACCATCTAATCTTTTAACTTAAAAAAGAATAACTGAAAACGAATATTCTGGATAACAAAGTGACAACTGGACTTAAAAAATATTTTAAAGCATGCTGCTGTAGTGTGTATTTAGTTAAGAACAGAGATTCTGAGTTCCAGTAGTGTGTCAAGCTCTTTTCTGTGATCTTACAAATCAGCACTATAACACAGAGTTCCTATAAATTCATAGATAGCACAGTCTGAGATATGGAGGCAAAAAGAAATTTCTAGAATCAAAAAGACAGTAAAATGTTCATCTATGCCAGACTCCCTCCACATAAGCCAGAAGCACAGATACTAAATATGTGATAGTAGAGTTAACACATACTTGCATGGGATGGAAAAGAAAGTCGGAAGTTGTTAATTATTTCTACAGGCAGTCCATGAGTTACAAATAGATATTTGTCTATTTGTCTAATTTAAAGACTTGCCTTTTAAGGTTATGTAAATTTGCTTTCAGTTTTAAATGATTGAACCAACATTCTTCATCACAGTGCAACAAATTCTTCATCACAGTTACCTACACTTGCTATACGTGCAGCTTTTAAATAATTGAAAAGGTAAAAAAAAACCCATTTTTTTTTCTTGCTCTAAAAACTCACTGCTATCAAGTTGGTTCCATCAGGTTTCCAAGGCTACCCATCTTTCTCCCACGAAGTCACTGATGGTTTTGGACTTACAGAAAAGTGCAGCCTTTGAGTTGGCAGTGCAGTTTGCTAGGGACCAGCCACCAGAGTATCCTTTCTTACACTAATGCAAAGTAAGAACTGTATGCATCTGTTACAACTTAATTACAAAATCTTAGACACATAATTAGGAACAAACCTTGTGCTTACCTGAACCCATGGTATATTCATAGCTCATAGCACTGGATCGGTGTATGTAGAAGGGTATGGTGCAATAGACAGATACTTGAGGCTTAAATTTGTTTTACAGTTCTCTCAGCTTGAGAAATGCAGAGCAGGTTCTTCCCTTTTTGCTCTCCAATTCCAGCTCTCTGCACATTCTAGTATAATACTTTGTCCTCTTGGGCTGACTTTTGAAATCTTCTGTTCAGCTCTATCTCTTTGACATGTTTTCCTTTTGTTTTGGCTTCTTGGCATTCCAGTGCAATCTTTAGAGTCTCTTCTGACATCCATTTCCATTTTTTTCTTTCTCCTCCATTCTTGAAATGACCTTTTGCTTTCTTCATGGATGAAATCCTGGATATCATCCCATAGCTTATCTGGTCTTCAATCATTGGTGCTCAGTGCTTCAAACTGGTTCCTAAGATGATCTTGAAATTCAGGTAGAATTGATTCAAGATCATATCTTGTCTCCTGTGGACTTATTTTAATTTTCTTTGACCTTAATTTGAACTTAACATATGAGTAAATTAAGAATGTCTATTTGTGTTTTATTGACTATGCAAAGGCATTAGACTGTGTGGATCATAATAAGTTGTGGCTGACATTGAGAAGAGTAGGAGTCCCAGAGTACTTAATTGTGCTTATGAGGAACCTATACCTGGACCAGGAGGCTGTTGAGCAACACTGTGATTGAAAATTAGGGAGGGAGTGTGTCAGAGTTGTATTCTCTCTCCATACCTATATAATCTGTATGCTAAGCAAATTATCTGAGAAGCTGGACTTTGTGAAGAAAAGTGTGGGATCAGGATTGGAGGAAGACTCATTAATAACCTGCATTATGCATATGACATAATGTTGCTTGCTAAAAGTGAAGAGGAATTAAAGCATTTTTTGCAGAAGATCAAAAAAAGGACAAGAAAACAAAAATTATTACCACTGGACTGATAGGCAACATCATTATAGATGGAGAGGAGATTGAAACTGTTAAAAACTTCAATCAGCAACCTTTGTACCAGCACTTAGGAAATCACTGGGAAAGTCTGCATTTAAGGACCTCTCCAAATTATTGAGGAGTAATGATGCTGGTTTGAGGACTAATGTGCGTCTGATTCAGGCAGTGTTCTTTCCATTCACATCCTATGCATCAGAGAGCTGGACAGTGAATAAGGATGTGTTGGAGAAGAACATCCCATGGATGGCCAAGAGAACAAACAGATATGTCTTGAAGAGGGTGCAACCTGAGTGCTCTTTGGAGGCAAGAATGAATGAGGCTTTACCTCACATACTTTGGGCATGTTGCTTGGAGGACATGATGCTGGGAAGAGTGGAGGGTCGCCAAGGAGAGGAAGACCAGGTGGATTGACATGGTGAGTGCTACAAAGGTCTCTTATGTATCAGGAAGTGTGAGGATGGCACAGGATAGAACAGGTTTCAAATACTTTGTTCATAGGGTTGCTATGAGTTGTACTTGACTGGATAGCACCTAGCAACAACAACAATGGTGTAAATAAAGACAGATACTATTTCAGATTTGTTCAGTTGAGGGCCAATAAAACAAAATTGGGACTGACCTGATTTTTTTTTTCCGTTTGGGTGAAGTAGAATGATAACCAACATGGGAAAAGTTATAAGTTGAAGCTCTGTAGTGGGAGACTCAGAAAAGCTGTAGTGAGTCATTTCCAGTGTCTGATACGGGAGAGTGGATTATGACCAGGACTGTGAATAGCAATGTAAATTCAAAGTTGTATAGCCAGCCACCAACTTTGAGTGGGGTACCGTTGCTTCGGACTCTGCCAGTGAAGACATCTGGTTACTATGCAGTGTACATGCTGCCCTTGTTTCTAAGAAGATTAAGTTTTTAGCAGGGTATTGTCATTCTGGTTCACTTACATTTTACAAATTCAAGTCTGTTTCAATTTGGCTTCAACAGCCATGACTGAACTGTTTTGAAGTTCTAGATTTAAACCCTTATATCTTCTGTGATCTATCTCTGCCCTCTCAGGCGCTTTCCTAGAGCACAGAATATTGATATTTGGCAGATGGAAGGAAATAAAAAACTTCTATTCTTTGACTATTGCTAATGAAGTCCAAGAAAGAGGGAGGGCTAAGTAATCTGAAACCTATTAGAGACTTCACATCTGTTTTCACTCAGAGGCAATACACACACACACACACACACACACACACACACACACCCCACCCCCCCACACTGCCCCACATGTCCCAGTTATGCCTTTCATTGCATTTCCTAGAGCAGATAAGCTTTCACTGTGTTGACAACACAAATGATATTATAGTCTTCAGGTTTTTTTTAAAAGGGAAGAATTTTATTTTTTATTTTTTTATGGAGGAAAGACACTCCAGACTTAAAAACTATGGTCCCCTAAGGATTGTGAACTCAGCTATTTATTCTTCTACAATATTTTAAACCATGTAGATATGACTTTAGAAAAAATTAAATGCTTTTGAAATCTCCTTATAATCTTCTCTTTTTTAACTATTTAATAACAAACTACTAGAAAAAGGGAACAATAGTTGATACAATTTTTCAGACAATTATGTAAAGTGTGTGTTGATACTATTATACAACTATTTCTAATGTTTGTTTTTTAATCTCTTTCTAGACATTATCTAGTGCTTGCAAAATGATGGGGAACAGTAAATTTACTAGCCAAATTTTGGAAGATGAACGCCTTTTCCAGCAGTTCAAAATAACTGATGAAGTGGATATTGTCACATTGAAAGATTACATGCAAGTAAGGAATTTAGATATTGTGTAGCAATATACCTGAAAGAAATCAGCGAAAAAGAGATGAGGTTTAAGAGTGAATCCTCCGTCCTGAAGGGACAGAGCAGAGAATTTGCAACCCCGGGGGGCAGGGACGGGGGTTTTTATAATGGGGTCTTCGAGAAGAAGGGAGTTGCATTCCATTTCTTGATTTACAGTCCACGGTTGGTTCAGCGAGGTTGGCAAGGTCGTTTGTCCACCTTATCAACTGCAAGCAAGGCCATCCAGCATGAAGGCTGCATTCTTGTTCTCCTTCCTGGCCCCGTTGCCCGGGCCTAACAGATATTAACCAACAAAAAGCCTTCTAGGCTGTATCTTCCAAGAAGAGTCAAACATTTCTTGGTCATAGTGAAATACAACATAAAATGTACCTTTTTAAAGTGTACATTTCACTTTAAGTCCATCTACAGTATTGTGCAGCCATCATCATTATCTAGTTCCAAGACCTTTTTCTGAGTAGTGAGTCTTGTTTTGAGGAACGGCCAAATTGTTTCCAGCCATGACTACCATTTTACATCCCCACTCATAAAGTAAAAGGATTACAGTATCTCCACATCCTCACCAATGCCGGTTATATTATTATATAGCCATCCTACTGAATATAAAGGAAATTCTGGTAACCTAGTGGTAAAGAGTTGTGCTGCCAACGCAAAGGCAAGCAGTTTAAACCCACCAGTGGCTCTGAGGGAGAACAAGGGGTAGTCTCCTCCCATGTGACTTACAGCCTCTGATAACCCACTGGAGGGTCAGCTGTAAGTCAGTTCTGAATTGAAGTCACCTAACAACAACAGTGGGTGTAAAGTTATATCTCATGGCTAATGATGCTGAGCACCTTCCATGTGCTTTTTGGCCATTTATGTAAATTATTTACAGAAATGTCTGTTCAAGTCCTATGCCAGTTTTCTAATTGGTTTGTTTTTCCATGTACTGAGTGGCAAGAGTTCTTTATATATTCTGGATACTAGAGCCTTATCAGGTAGCTCTAGTGGTGTAGTCTGTAAGGAGTTCAAATTGACCTACTACGCTGCAGGAGAAAGATGGACATCCTCTTCCGGGTGATTTACAGCATTGGCCACCTGATGGAGGATCAGCTGTGAGTCAGTTCCGACTTGATGGTAATCAGTTTGTGAGTGGAAACCTTAATCAGATATATTGTTATTGTGTACCTTAGAGTCGGAACAAACCCATAGCTGCCCCTCCGGCCAGTTTTCAGAGGTAGTTAATTATTCAGGAAGAGATTGAACATCCTTTTCCTGTAGAGCAGCTGGTGGCCTTGAGCTATGTGTCTAGGATTGCAGTGCAGATTCTTGCCACTAGGCCACCAGAGCTCCCTTAACAGATAGAGGATTTACAAGTGTTTCTCATGTCTGTAAGTTATCTTTTCACATTCTTAATGATGTTATTTGATACACAAAAAGTTTTTCATTTTTATGAGATTTATTTCTTTATTCTATTGTTGCTTGTGCTTCAGATATGATACCTAAGAAACCATTGACAAATCAAAGGTCATAAAAATGTATCTCTGTGTTTTATTACAGGTTTTTTAAATGGTACTTTAGGTAAAAGCTTATAGTGCAAATTCATGTCCCATTCAATAGTTTGTACGTAGAGGGATCCGTGACACTGGTTGCATTCCCTAGAATGTAGGGCATTTCTCTATTTCCTTTTGCCAAGACTGTCTACCACTTCTTCCCTTCTCGTTTTTGCTTTGGGGCAGTTGTCTTTTTTATCTCATATAATTGTTTTTAGGAAACACATTCCTTTTGGGTGTTATCATTTACTTTATGGGCCTGCCTTTTATTCAGCCAAAAGGTAGTCACCTGGAATGGCTTCCATTCTAAGTCAGAAGGATGTCTTAGGATGATCATCTAGGGAGTGCTCCAATCTATTTCAGACCAGTAAGTCTGATCTTTTGTGTGTATTTGATTGATTCTTTTGTTCTATTTTATGTTTCTTTCATACTATTCAGGATCCTCTGATGTGATCCCCATCAGAAGGTTCAGTAGGTATATCTGGGCATCATCTAGTTCATCTGGTCTTGACATCATGTAGGCTGTGATTTATGTGATCCATTATATCCTTGAGTCTTTTATTTTCTTCACTGTCCTTCACTCCAGATATGAAGAAACCAATAGTGTATCTTAGATGGCTGCTCTACCCTGCACCTTCCCGATCTTCTGGGCTTCCTCCCTGGGCAGATGCAGCTCTTCTATCCTTGTGTCATGGATTGTTCTAAAGGACGAATGCTGACTTGGTGGTGTTGCTGGTCATCTTATACATCTGTCCATGCTTTGGCTGCACTGGAGCCATACAAGTGTTTGGTTCCTGGGCTGAGGGTACAGGTCACAGTCTCAGAAGTCTACATCAAAGGAACAGCTACTTATTTTTCACAGTTACAGAATTTATTAGGGAAATAAGAGGTTATTTATTATGATTCAGAATCAGGAACAACTCAGGGTATCCACATCACTGGCAGTAAGGGAGATGCAAATAAAAACCATAGTGAGGTACCATCTCATTCCAGTAGCACTGGCAACATTGAACAGGGCAACAGGTAATAACTGTTGGAGAGGATGTGGTAAGAAAAGAACTCTTACACGTTGTTGGTGGGATTGTAAAATGGTACAACCATTCTGGTAGGCAGTTTGGTGCTTCCTCATAAAGCTGAACATAGAAATTCCATATGACCCAGATATTCCACTACATGGAATATACCCTGAGAAAATGAGAACTGAGGCCCAAAGGGAGATTTGTACGCCAGTGTTCATAGCAGCATTATTCACCATTGCAAGAACATGGAAACAGTCCAAATGTCCAACCACAAACAAATGGAATGAGAAATTATGGTACATTCACACAATGGAATACTGTGCAACATATAGGAGCAATATCTTTGTAAATTATTGCCTAACTTGGGAGGGACTGGAGAGCATTGTGCTGAGTGAACTAACTCAGTTCCACGAGGGTAAGTATTGTATAAGACCATTATTGTAGAATGAGTATAAAGATCCAGGAGAGGTGTGAGAGGCTGGAAGCAGAGGGATGTGGATGTACAGGGGGGAGGAGACTAATCATTGGGTTGTGCAATTTGATGGGGGGGGTAAGGGAAATGGAAAGAATTTGTTCAAATTTTTATTAGAATTTTGTAAATAAATTAGGGGGGGAAAGAATAATTTGTTTAAGGTATTTCCCCCCCTGTGAATAAAGCTTCTGTGGAGGTACTATGGACTGCCAGAGGGATGAAGAAATTTGTCTTGGAAGAAGTACAACTAGAATGCTACTAAGAAACAAGGATAGTGAGACTTCATCTTCTATACTTTCGACATGTTAACAGGAAAGACTGTCACAAGACAAGGGCATCATGCTTGCTAAAGAAGAGAGTCAATGAAAAAGTGGAAGACCTTTAGTGAGATGGACTGACACAGTGGCTGCAACAATGAGTTCAAGCACAGCAGAGATTGTGAGGATTGCGCATGGCCAGGCAATATTTTATTCTGTTGTATATAGGGTTATGAGTTGGAACCAACTCAGCAGCACTTAACAACAACCTTTCTTTTTTAAATAATAATAGTCTCATACAATCTTTGACCTTTTATGATTGACTTCTTTCCCTCAGCATATTATCCTCCATATTTATCCAAGTTGAAAGATGTTTCCCAGATTCATCTTATTCTTTGTCTTTGCATCATATTACATTGTGTGTATGTGTCACAGTGGGTTTTTTAAATTTCTTTGTCCATTTATGGGCACCTACATTATCTTCTCTTTTTGCTGTTGTGAGCAATACTGCAATGAACATGAGTGTGCATGTCTATTCATGCCAGGGCTCTTAATTCTCTGTGTGTGTATGTGTGTGTGTGTGTGTGTGTGTACTGTCAAATCGGATCTAATTGGTACAGGAGGAGATTGTCCCTCCTTCTCCAGCAGGGCATCTGGTGGGTTTGAACCGCTCACCTCTGGGATTGCAGTGCAGCTTCTTGCCACTAGGCCACCAGAGCTCGCCGACTCTTAATTCTTTAGAATATATACCTAGGATTCGGATTGGTGGATCATATAATATATCTATTTCTAATTTTTAAGGAAGTGCAATGCCCTTTTCCATAGTAATTGTCCAAGTTTCATTCTCACTAACAGTGTGTAAGAGTTCTAATCTCCCCAACCTCACCAACATTTGTAACCTCCCTATAACTAATGATTATGAGCATTTTTTCCATATATTTGGTAAAGTAACTGTTCATATCATTTGCCCATTTTGAAATTTAATTGTTTAAATTAGATTGTCTTTTTGTTGAAGTGCTGAAGTTAGGGGGGTTCTGGATGGGATATTTTTAATTTTAAAGATTAGACCCTTGTAAAGTATATCATAGACAAAATATTTTCCCCAATCTATGGGTTCTCTTTTACTGGTTTGGAAAATTTTTTATGAGCATAAGGATTTAATTTTTAGATCATTACATTTCATCTGTTGATGTTTGTGCATTTTTATGTTTAGTATTCCATTTATGCCATGTTATCAGGGCACCTTGCATTATCCCTATTTTTTTTCTTCCATGATCTTTACAGTTCTAGGTTTTATATTTAGATCTTTGATCCATTTTTAGTTAAATTCTGTCTGTATATAGTATCAAATAAGGACTCAGCTTCACTCTTTTGTACATGGATATCCTACTGTTCTCGTGCCATTTGTTGAAGAAACTGTTCTTCCTCCTATTTAATGGTCTCGGTACTCTTGCCTAAAATAAGTTACCAATAAATACATCTTTTTGCCTCTAGATTCACAATTCTACTTCATTCATCTGTATGTCTATTTGTATGCCAGTATTGCACTGTTTTAATTACTGTAGCTTTGTAGTAAGGTTTTTTTTGGGGTTTTTTGTAATTTTTTACATTTTAATAATTTTAATGAACATTTACAGAGATTTTGGACTTCCATTCATTCATTGAGGCACTTATCTCCCCGCCCAGCCT